CAAGATATGCAAAGACCCTTAAATCACTTCAAGAAAACACACTTTGTCTTACACCACTGCAATATGAAGACAGTGTTTTCATACAAAATTAAGCAGGGAACTGCCCTAAAAAAAATGGGATCGCAGTAGAAAAGAAAATGACCAACACTTTATCAAAGTTGAAGGAACAGGTCGACTAACAGTGAGAAATAAAAAACTCTTGCGTAAATTTCACAACCCACTAAAGTCACACAAAACTGAAATTTGCATTGACCATATCAAGCCTTAGTCATCATAACTCTACATTTACCACAATTTACTGAGTATGTCCCTGAAAGTGCCAACAAAGTCACACCATCCCAACTGAAACCAACACCATTTGCAGTATTGCCACTACCTCCAACATCAGAACCAACGATACCACCACCACCTCTACCGACAATACCAGTACCCCTACTGTCATCTATGCTCTGGAGCAACAACTAACTTTTGTTTTCTTATAAGTTATTTTATTTGCTGAATTCCCTACCATGTCATTTAATCTTTTCTCAATTCTCTCTCTTACGGGACACTTATCATTATCTAATGAACATACAGATAAGACTATCAGATCTTTTGACTTTAATTCATTTAATAATGATTTTATCAAAAGATTTAAATTTTGATAATGGATACAAAAACAGACTATGTGTGTGCCGATTTTCCAGCAAGTACACAATGTTTTGGCCTTATAAGAGCAAATGATGTCAACCCCAATCTTAACTATATCATTAGACTTTGATTCTTTTACCCATTCCTGGTAAAGTTCTGAAAGATTCTATATATGAGTCGCTTCTAAATGTACTGTCTACTATAAACTGACTTTATGTTAATATAATTCTTTGCTCCTGGCTATAACCTGCTATTACTGCCATCATCTTAAAAATTTGCTTTGCAACTTTGAAAGATAATTTTTTAAGATTTTTTATGTCAGTTGACCTCTCACCAAGGATTCCTTTAACACTCTGCAAAGCTCTAGCTTTTTTTGCCATATTTTGAGTTGTTTTAAATTCATTTGTTTCCTGAATGGTCCAATGGACAGGAATGGTGAGAAATTTTATTTTTTGTGAAATATAAATCAGATGCACTTAAAATTTCATTTTCAATAAAACTACTGATCTATATTTAGAAATTGAAGCTTGTTTATATTTACTAATTATTCAAAAATAATTATTCAAGCAAAATATGAAATTTTAATTAACATTAATGGTTTTAATTAACATTAATCCACTGCTCTAATTATGTACTAAATTATTAGCAACTTAATAAAACCTATAATAAAATAGAACGGAATTAAAAAAAAATAAGAAATAAGAAAAAAGAAGCTTTCAAATTTAGGATTAACAAAAATATGTTTAAAGTATCATATTTGAGCAATAATGCACGGCACTAAATAGTTATTGCCCTTTTTTGTGTGCCCCTAAACAGTATAAAGATCAGAAAAAAGAGAGGGCAACCAACCATATCTTCTTTTTAATAGGAAATAAATTATAATTTGTCGCACCACACACATGGGCCAGTAGGCAGGTTGGAAGGGTGCTGATTTCCAATAATGCATTTGATCCTTGGTAATCGAAAAATAAGGTTATTTAAAAATGTTGCCATTTTTGTTATGACTATATTAAATTAAAAATGTTTGCAAATGTTTTAGGCAAATGGATAACATATCTTTAGATATATTTGAGTTCTAAACAGAAGAAGATGCTTATATTTTGCCCATTTATTGCAGCTAATCATTAAACTAACCTAGCAGCTATTTTAGCTGCTAATCATTAAACAGGTTAGTTTAATGATTAGCAGCTAAAATAGCAGCTAATCATTTAACTAACCTGTAAAGACTTGTGGATAAATAGAAAAATATACAGTTAACTTGGTGTTAAAAAAACTGGTGTTTTTTAGAAACTTTCAGATTTTTTTCAAAGTTAAGAAGGTTAAAATTTTTTTTTTTATGTAACCAAAGTTATTAAAAACCACTATTTTTACAACAGAACTATCCAGAGAATAGTTCTAGAAAAAACGAGACACTTATTGAAAGTTAGAAAAAAGTTATAAAGTAGTCTATTTTTGCAATTTGTTAATTGAGGAGGGGCCACCTTGTCATGTTTATAAGGCTAAAATTTCTCAACAGTTGCACTTGAAAGTTTGAAACTTCAAATTTAACCTATCTACATAATGCAGCTAATGATAGGTAAAAATCAGGAAAATCAGGGATTATGCTAAACACAAAGTTTTCTTTAAATTGGTTGAAATATAATGGTTTGACCCATAAAAGGAACTACTCTATAAAGGACGAAAACAAATTTCAAGTTAAATTCTAGTAATAAAAAAACTGCTGACATTTTTAATAAACAATTTGGAAATATATTTATGGACAATAACAACTACTTGCCATATATTATTAGTTTTTCTAACAACTCTATAAGCATTGAAGGCTTTAACTTTCTGTTGAGAGGGTTTATTTAACTTTAATTGGTCTCAAACCCAGTACATCTTATGGTCCAGACGGAAAACTGAACATTCTTCTGAAAAAGCTAGCTCTACCACAACAATGGCTTCAGGCTTTGTTGAAGCCATTGTTGACTAATTTCACTCACATGCACTTGTTTTCGTGCAATAGAAAGAATTAATAACTCTAATGTTATTACGTACTTAACTCACCATAATTTAATAGTCAATAATCAACATGGTTTCTTTAAGAAAGGTTCTACTTATACAAATCTTTTAGAATCTGTAAATGATTGGAGTTTTCTACTAGACAAACATCTAATAACAGATGTTGTTTATATTGACATTTAAGAGGCAATTGATTCTGTTTCTCATCCATTATTAGAAAAACTTGCTCTGTTTAACATGAGGTAATTTATTATAATAGTGGTATCTTAATAATTTTTTTTTTTTGCTAACCTGATGCTGACACCATTTTTCCTAATTCTGAGGGTTGCAAAAAAATCCTTTACATTATAAATAACAATTAACCATTAATCTTTTCTAACGTTTAAATAAAATAAAAAATAAATTATAATGATTGTTTAAAATAAACGCATTTAATGTAGATTAAATATATAAATTTATTTTATGTATAAAATTATAGTAGGCATGTTTTTTTTAAAATATATTTTATTATTTTAATAAGCATGTATTTTTTATGATAAATTTAAACATTTGAAACAACCGCAATTAAAAACATAACAAAAAGTTTTAAGTTATATTTTAAAGCTTATATATTTTCTTTTTGTGAGGAATTGTTTTCTTTTTCAGTTTTTTAAATTTTCTTCATAGTTTTCAGACTTCAAAAAAAAAAACACTTAAAAATACTTAACTAAACTGTTTAGCATAGTGTTTCTTTTTTTAATGCATTTCTGAAATCATCAAAATATCTAAACAGTCGTGGTCAAGTTGTCAACAAATAAAACCATTTGCATAGTAAGCAATAGGGTTTGATCGCACGCCATTCCTGTCCAAACTTGCCACTTAGCTAATGCTCTTGATAATGTTGTACTTTGGTTAGAAATATTGTAACCATCTATTTCTAACAGTGTTTTGTTCATAGGATTGCACCTGCTTCATTGAAAAAATGTATTAACGTTAATGATAAGGTTTAGGAGATTATACTTTAGCTTGGTCTTCTAATCCAAAAGATCTTAGTGTAATCCTAGATTCTTACCTTAACTATAAAAAAAAAAGTTAAAAATGTTACCCATGCAGCTAATACCAGAGCATAACTTATTTTAAAATGCTTAATGTTTTGTAATCCTAGTATCTTTGTTATACCCTTAACTACATATATTAGTCATATATTAGAATATTGCTTCCCATTTGGTTGCCATATCATGCTAAACTAATAAAGGGAGTTGAGAACACACATTGCTTGATTTGGAATTGCTTGAGATAAGGCAATTAAAACATGATTTATTGACTTGTTTCAAAATTCTGCTAACATGGTCTAAATTGATGAATCTATTTTCTTTTTTATTGACAACAAAAATAACACACAAAGACATAAATATAAAATGGGCAAACAACAATGTCAATATAGTTTCTCTAAGCAAATTTTTAGCATTTTGAATCAGTTGTCTTTCAATGTTGCTAATGCTGATAATACCAACATCTTTAAGAGTAAAATTAACTCACTCAATTTTGAAAAGTTATGTCAGCCTTACGCATATCTTATTGTTTACTTTTATATAAACTATTTATTTGTGATGTTGCATGTTGTTACATAATTTATTTTAAGGCACACTATTAGTGTCCAACAATTTGGACACTAATAGTGTGCTAGTAAATACAATCTAATCCAATCTAAGACATGCAAACAATTTTTTACCCTTTTAGCTATATATAATGCCACACATGGTTTAACTGAAATTACTAATGATCTAATATAGGCCTGGCTACTTTTTTACCTGCCACTAAAAAAATTCTGATTTTCTGCAATTTTTTAGTACATCAATTTTTTTTTGTATGAGTTGAATTCAGTAGAAATTTCCTTTAATAATTATACAGTAACAAAAGTAATGTAATGTATGTTACATATATAGTGTCAAAATTATACATTTATTTTCCCAAGTATGTCACTTCTAACTGACTTATTTTATAATAAATACTGAATTCACAACATCATTTTAAAAGTTTTAATACGATTCACAATACTGATTTGCAGAAATCAGGCCTAAAAGTAGAGACCTAAAAGAAACATTTTTGTCAGCGTAACATAAGTCAAATGATATTTTCGGTCCTAAGTTCACTATTTTTTTGTCAGACTCAAAACTTTTCAGCCTATTTTATTTTTCTAACTTACAACTTTTATACATAATTGTTAAAAATTAAGTAAACACTTTAAATATGATAATATTTGATTAAATTGTTGCAAGTGTAACAAATTGAATATACATAACAAAGTTATGTATTTTAAATATATATATACAACAAAGTTAATAATATACATATATGTATACAAAAATATTTAACATGAATGTCTTTACCGTGTTTTAGCAAGATAATATTGTGATTCGTGGTCTGGATTTGGATGATTTATATCCATAGCAGGTAACATTGCACTTGCAGTCATTTTAATACTGTATATGTGTATATGCTAATAAAAAATTTAATCAGTTAAAATAAAAAAGCATACAAAGTACAACACTACATTTTAGTACCTATTGGTAAAACCAATAGGTACTAAAATGTAGTGTAAAATCATTTTTTAAATGATAGCTTTTAATGTATCTATTTTGTATGCAATTCAGACAAAGTTTAAAAAAAAAAAAAAAAAAAAAAAAAAAGTTGTCATTCTTCTTTGTAAGTTTTATATTAAATTAAAAACGACAATGCTGAGTAATCGTGACAGTATAAAGATTGCTAAAAACACATATGAAGATTCACTAAAACACAGTAATACTTTATTTAATATATTGCAATTTTACCATTTTTATTTTGTAAAAAAAAGGAGAATAACAACCCTAACTAGTAGTAATAACTAATAACTCACAATTTATTTTATTACTAATAAAAAAACCTTGCTGCTATATTGATGATTTTTTCTTATCGCAATCCTTGTTTTATTAATCTCAATTAAATTAAAGATTTAAAATCATTAAAAGTATTATAAGTTGTCGATTAAAATTATTAAAAACAAAAAGTTAAGTGATTATTTAATCTTTCAACACTAAAAAAAGAATTGTAATTTATTGTTTTTAATTTTTACACCATATAATATTAGTAGCTTCTTAAATATAGTTGTATAGACTATATTTAAGAAGCTACAAAAAAATTTTAATTCTGTTTTCAAATATTAATTTTATAATAAAAATAATTGTTAAAGGGCATAAAAAATACGCAATAATTTACTAAAAGTTTTAGTAAATTATTATTTGTTATTTTTATGTTTTTAATTGTTAAGTTTTAGTAAAACTTATATCTAAAACAATCATTTAGGTATTAATTGAACGTGTGATATTATACATTATTAGCATATAATTAATAAAACGTAAAACTGTGTAAAACTTCATTTTTTGAAAATAATAAATCATTATATAACATTGGCATAATATAACAAGAGCATAAAATAAATATTGCAAATAAGAAAACTTTATAAAAAACAAAATATTCTAAGGAGATCGTGACCAATTTAGGAGTACCTAGATCGGTTAACGGCATTTTAGTAATTACAATAAATTATTGTAGGCATGCGTTAAATAGTATTTGTTTTTTTGGGGCACTGAATAAGCGCGAATTTCATAAGTGAAACTTATGAAATTCGCCATTCACACTTATGCCAGTTTACATGAGTGCGAATGGCTCTTACGCCATTCGCACTTATGCAAACTGGCATAAGCGCGAATTGGCATATGTGCGAACTGGCCTAAGTGCGAAGCGTTGCAAAAACTGGCTTATGTGCGAATTCGCCAAAACATTTTGCAAACATTGGCCTAAGTGCAAATTGGCATAAGTGCGAACTGGCATAAGTCAATGTAGCAGCACTTCCTTGTAGCAGCAGGCTATAAGATAGTTGATGCATGTACTAAAGCCAATAATTATTGGCTTCAGTACATACATCAATTATCTTATAGCCTGCTGCTAAAATATTTGAATAAATATTTTCTGTTTATATTAAAAAGACACCAATTTGAGCAAGTCTCCACGCGAGATCGTAACCAGCGAAAAAATAAGATTATTTTACGCGGCTTAACTGCAGATTTACCAGTTTATATTCTATTAACGTATAAAGTTTTCTTGAATTAATAACAACAATAATTTTAGGTAGAAATATTATTTTCCGATGCTGATTTAAAATGAAGAGATAATGGGGAATTTATAATACAGTATCGTCCACAATTATTTTCGTCGCGTCCACAATAATTTTCGTCGCGTCCACAATTATTTTCGTCGTGTCCACAATTATTTTCGTCGCGTCCACAATTATTTTCGTTTGTCCATAATTATTTTTAAATCAAAACAATTTATTTTTTAAAATTTTTGAAATCAAGAAAAAAATCCAAGTATAATTTAATCAAATAAATTCATTACGTTGAATTCCTTTAAACATCCACTCACGCATGTGAGAATAATAATTCTCAAAAGAATATTCGGTAAAACCTGATAAAATCTCAGTAATAATTCTAATCATTTCTTGTGAATTGTTAGGCCGCGGTTGTATTCCTTTAAATAAATTTTTAACCACGTCAAAAACTCCTTGATAGGATTAAGTTGAGGACTGTAAGGTGGTAAAAACTGGATAGTACAATTACTTTCTCGAAATGCCGATTCTACTATTGATGAATGGTGGAATCGCGCATTATCCATTACTACAACATATCTGCGATCACTTAAAACTGGTCTTAAATCTTGTTCTATCCAGTCGTGCATGCTAGTGGTATTAAAGGCTCCAATCTTTAGTTTAAATCCAATACACCCTGTAACTGAAATAGCGCATATTAGGCTAATATTTCTTCCTCTCTGTGTGGGCACTGTAACAAACGGGGTGCTTCCTAATAATGCATATCCATAATGTCGTGAATCATGCAGATTGAACCCGGTTTCATCAATATAGACCAGATCTGAATTTTGCAGAAAAGAAACATGATTGCAAAACATAAACCTCGTTGCTATTACTTGAGCTGAATTTCTTGGAACAACGATCGATTTAAGCCTTTTACGGGTATATCCCATTTGTTTTAATTCTCTTTTGATTGTAGTTGTCGAGCATTTATGTTCTTCTGGCATTAACTCTGCAATGTCAATAGTAGTTAATGCATTATTTGCATTAATTAATATTAATTTTGCATTAATTAATTCTCTCTTTCTTTCAATATTATTTCGTGCAGCTCTGCCACGTTTTTTTGGTATTATATTTTGGTCTGCTTCAAGCTTTCGTATCCAGTTTTGTATTGTCCTAATTGAAAGACCTGTTGCATTTGCAATAGATCGACTTGATTCGTTGCCAATCAACATTCTTTTTATTGTAGCAATATTTTCTTCCGTTGCTGTTTTGTTTTTTGTTTGTTCAGCCATTTCGATATTTGGATTATTGAGTTCTTGTTAGTCATTATGGCTTAAAGTGTTTTGATTTAAAAATAATTGTGGACGCGACGAAAATAATTGTGGACGCGACGAAAATAATTGTGGACGCGACGAAAATAATTGTGGACGATACTGTAAATCATTAAGTAAATTATTTAAGTTTTTGAATTATTTAAGAGATAGTATTGAAGTATTTACGCTTTTTATATACCACTTTTTAAAATATTTTACACAGTACACGTTTTATTTCAGCATTTTCTTAAACCAAGTAGATGTAAAGTGGGAATTTGACGCCACACCGGACCAGACCGAATAAACGTTTCTTCCGTGAAGAGCTGCCTATTGTTCACGGTCGTTTAGATATTAGGAAAAAGCGTTATGTTTAGGTACGCATGCGCGAGTTTTCAGTAAAAACTTTAGAGCTTTTAAAATGGCTGCGGTTCTTAACTACGGAGTAAATTTTAGATGAATACCATTTAGTTGCATTTTTTGGTGTACTGTTCAGTATTATAAACTTTTTTTTTTTTTACATCAATAAACAAGCGTCATTTATTTAATATTAGGCAATTAAATTAAATTTAAAAACAAGTTAAGATGCACATAGTTGTATTTCTGTGAAAGCTAATTTGCTGTAGGAAAGCAAGTTGTTTATTTTTTTGAAATAAAATTTCTGAATTTCTTACTGTACGAATTTGAAAATTTTTTCTTTAACCTCTTTAATGTTATTTACTTTATAGTTTTATTATTTTTTGATTCTTGCTTAAATTTAATTTTGGCAGAAAATGTATTTTTATCATGTGAGTAGTTAAGTGCTAAGATTTTTTTTTATAACTTTGTTCTGGTGCATTTTACACAATCATGTTATAAAAATAAAGATAAAAAAATAACATTATTTATTAATATTATATTAGCTAATAGAAAAGTATTTTTTTTTTACTATACATTGCATGTATTTGGAAATTTTCTATTGCTAAAACAAAATGTTCACACATAATATATGTGTGTATGTTTTGTTTTAGCAATCGCAAGTTTCCAAATACATGCAATGTAAAGTAAGTAAATTTGATTTTCTATTAGCTAATATAACATAAATAAATATTTCATCTTTATTTTTTAACACGATCATTTAAAATGCACCAGAAGAAAGTTATAAAAAAAATTCTTACATTCATGCACACACACATGATATATGATATATCATATGTGTGTGTATGTATGCAACATACACATGCATGCAAAGTGTGTATATATATATATATATATATATATATATATATATATATATATATATATATATATATATATATATATATATATATATATATATATATATATATATATATATATATATATATATATATATATATATATATATATATATATATATAATAACAATATATATTATGAGAAAAGATTATTACATTTCATGGATATTCAGAAATAGTATAAGTACTAATCTAAAGTAAAATTAAATTGTATAATAATATTAAAACAATTATAACAAGGCCAATAACAATATCAGCAATACTATTAATATCAATAGTATTAACAATACTATTTATATCAATAAATATAATACTATATTAATAATAGAGATAGGGTAATAACCACAAGTAGCCTCCTCATCTGCAGTGGCCTTCTTTGCCTTGGAGGTGAGTTATCAAAAAATTTATAATAATAACAATAATAATAGTAATAATAGTTTTGATAAGTATTAAAACTAAATATTAAACAATAAAAATAAGTAATAATATATAAATAATAGTAAAACAATGCTATAATATTACTATTACATAAAATAATATTTTTATTACATAAAATAATATTACTATTACATAAAATAATATTTTTATTACATAAAATAACACCAAAAGTAATAATAATAATAATAATAACCCACAATGAGCCCAATATTTTACAAACAGTATCTTTCCAAAAGTAGGCGTAAAGACCGGTTTTAGTAATAAGGTTTAGTGATTTAAAATGAAGAGGTAATCTATTTCATGATTTTATGCATTGGTTTGTGAATTATTATTTACGTACATAACTAAGTAATGATTAAGAATATATAATTTAAGGTTACTAAACAACGGAAGATAATAACAAGAACTTTTTATAGCAGTAAAGAAGTAATAGATTGAGGGAGGGAGGTTAACTTGTGCCTGATTCCAGACAAATAGACAATTTAATAGATGAACAAGAGCACACAATTTGATGATTTTGGATAGAAGGTATAGGATATTAATCTTTAGAGCAATATTCTTGAAAGTATATTATTTTAAATGTTTTGATTAAATATTTTTAAAAAACTATTGGTTGATAAGTATTGCATAGAGTATTATATTAGTATACATATTAAAGTGTTTGTAGTATGTTTGAGAAATGAAATTTTATTAGATAAAAGAGATATGCTTTTTACTATTACTATATATTTATCTTTAGAAAAGCATATTGCTGATTTAATAGTTTTATTGTTCTAATTGGTCATATGGTTCATTCTTATCAAAGTTACACATGCTAGAAGATCGTGTTATTCGATTTATAAAAAAATAGTCTTCTTAAATCACACAATCAAAACCCTAATAAACAGAAAGCTTAAACTAACCTTGAGAAAAAGAATATATTGCAATAAAAATTTTTAAAAAAGAAAGTCTATATAATGTAAAAATTTATATGTAAGAGATTAAATATTATACAAAAAAAAAAAAAAAAAAAAACCGAGAAGCAAAATACTGCAAAATATATGAAAATTACTAAATTCATTTTTTTTCTTTGTTCGTTGCATTTCATACTACCAAATAATTCTTTTTTTCCCTTTACCCACCCCTGTTTATTAAATAATTAGATTTATCTTGACCTTATTTTCAAATATTTTAAAAAATTGACTAATTTATAGTTCACTTGATTTTTATGAGTAGCTCCCTAACAGTCGTTAGGGAGCTACTCATAAAACGAATCATGTGCCTTTAATTTTAGGGTTGTAAATCTTACACCAGTTATTAAAAACCCTAGGGAAAGAGTTTGAAATCTTATTTAATTGAAAACTTAGTTATTTTGAACATTTTAAATTTTTTATTTCGTAGCACTTAAAAAGTAGTTAAGGGGTCGTCCATAAAATACGAACGCTCGGAGAGGAAGAGGGGTCTGCAAATGTAAAAATATGAGATAGGGGGGGGGGGGGGGTAGTAGGTCAATTATAAAAAGTTTGGAGACACTAAATTTAAAAAAGTATTATAAAATGGTGGGTTGGTAGGTTTAAAACGTAGGTACTTTTAGGCAGGTATAGGATTATATTTCTTACTTGTTCTCCAAGGCACTTACTAAAGAATACTATACTAAATCCGCCACTAAAACAACTTCTTCTTATGGGTATCCATAATATATATACGTAGCTAAACCACTGGTTTCGCACCCCCGTTTCCTATTAAACGTTAATATTATGACATCCAACGTTTCTTTAGGTACTTTGTTTAACTTCTTAATCCTTTGTATCCGCCCTTAACATGTTAAGGCTTTCTTAATGTGCAACGTCTAGGGCTATACAAATAGCTTTTTTTTGTGTGATCTAATTCCGTTGTGATAAAAATTGATATTGAATTTTAATTCAATTTAATTCCTTATTAATTAGTAAACTTTTAGATATATTTTGTTTACAAATATCCCATCACTTAAGAAATAGGAGGCTGGGGTGAGGAGGGGGGGTACAAAGATATCACAAAACCATTTTGCGAAGGGAGATATCAAAAAAGAGCAAAAAAAGTGTCGAGCAACTACAAAAAATCAATTCCCCAGGTTTAATTTAAGAACAAACAGGATCAAAAGTTTTTTTAATTCAACATTTTTATGTATTTAAGACAGGTTTTAAAGGGCATGAAAAAAGACATGCTCTAAAGTTTAACTCATCATTTATATAACATTAATAGTTCAATTAAAGAGCTAAAAATATTTGATAGTATAATTTTAATGTATTATAATATACCCTAATAAAATCTCTAAATTTAAAGTAAACATGTTTGAATCTGTACATTGGCTCAAAGGGCAGGTTTGCTAGATTGTGGAGCTTTGTATCCCATGGGAAGGAAATAAGTTTATATAAAATCTATTAATTATACTTTTAACAACAACAACAAAATTATCGATAAATTTTATTAATCTCTCAGTATTACATAATTTAACGAGTTGTATCATACTGATTGATTATATATATATATATATATATATATATATATATATATATATATATATATATATATATATATATATATATATATATATATATATATATATATATATATATATATATATATATATATATATATATATATATATATATATATATATATATATATATATATATATATATAGAACAAAAATCAAGAAAAAACTAAGCTCTTAACAAGCTAAACGAGTTAAAATACATTTTACAGAAAAATTCAATTTAAGCAACAACCAAAAGAAGGTCAAAGTATAAATAAAGTAGTAATAATAATAAAGAAAAGTTTTTTTTAAATTTGTACAGTTAGAAATTCTCAAAATTTATTTAAAAAAAATAAACAAACCACTCAATGTTACAAATAAAAGTTTTAGCCAAAACACAAATTAAAACTTTAAAAATAATTGGTTAGCGTGTTTATTTATTTACTAATACAAAAAAGGCATTTATTTATTGATTTAGATTAGTAATATGGTTGCAACATTAATTTTTAACAAAAATAAACTAAAAATAACAGTTGCTATATAAAAAAGATTATGAAGCTAAAAGCCGCAGCCATTTTAAAAAACTCTGAAATTTTTATCAACTTTTGGCACATGCGCACCTAAACTTAACGCTTGTAAACGACCGTGTGTTCTGGATGGTGCTGAGTTACCACCTGACTAAATCATTTTGTAGTCATGCATTGCATGCATAATGACCAGAGACTCTAGTGTTAATACCACCTTGAGGATCCATTTTAGTGTCAATTGGGTTGAGAGATGTTTTGAATTTCTCATATACACTGGTTTAGTGGGCTTGACTATTTTTTCTGACTTTTGTATGATTCATTTATTTTCTATTTACTAAGCAATTCTTGTATGACTCAATTGTGCTGATCCCTTTACCTCTCTCTTTCCAGCAACATTATTATTTTTCTCGTTGAATCATGGATAACTCTGAATATAATCACTAAAGTTGTACCGTTTCGAGATTTCTTGCATATCTTTGTATGTACCATCAGTTTCGACTTCGTACAATTAACTGTTGGCGTATACAGAAGCTGGCGTTCAGACCATATTTTGCCTTAATCTTATTGTACCGAAAGCCAAACATTAAGTGCTTGGAGTTATCCAGCGCTGCTTTACCAATGTAATTGGTTATATTCAGTTTAAATTTGTTCTTTTTGCTATGGATGGCTGCGAGATAGAATACTTTGTGACTAAAGTATGCAAGGTCAACAACTAATCTTTTTATCCTATCTTGCTCATTAGAACGGACAAGGTCTAGGGGCGGGTTTTGTCACTTGCCAAGGAGGTGCGAAAAAGTCTTTAAAAAAAAGTTCCGCATATTTTAATTATAAGTAACATTCTTTTTTAATTTTTTGTATTTTAGTGTAATAATCAAATTCATATACGTATAGCTACGTATAATAGTCAATTTCATTCATCAGTATAATAGTCCAATTCTGTATAATAGTCAATTTAAAAATTAATATTTTTGAAAATAAGTCCCAGAGGAAGACGGGTAACTACCCCCATGATCCCCTCACCCTAAAACAGCTTTTGCTCTAAATTAGAATTGAATTGTATATAGAATGCTTTATAGTTTGATGAATGCGAATTGCCACCATTCCTAGCGATTGATAAGGTTTCAATAAATGTTTCTATAATACATGTTGCTCTTTAAGACGTAAGTTAGATACAACTTTAGTGCATTCACTTGAGCATATCAACCAGCTTTTGATGGTACTCGCTCATTTTGGCTGCGGGTAGAAACATACACTGTTAAAAATATAGCGTGTTTTTTACGGAAAAGTTCCGTTAGCCGATGACCAAACTATCCGGAATTTTACAGAAAAACTCAGCTGCCGCATAGTTTCCATAAACAAAATTAATGTTGCAATATTTACATTCCGTTCATACGAAAATTTAAACAAACTATATTTAGCAAATATATATAAAATCAATAGCATGTTTTTAAAATATTTTTCTGGAAACAAATTTTCTTTGATTTAGATAATAATATTAAATTTTCCGTGATTTACATTTCACTTCAACAGCAAATTAGTAATATATTAGTAAAGTAATAAACACCTTCAAAAAAATTATTAACAATTTTGATATAGTATATACAAGCACATAAAAGTATAATTATATTGCATATCCATATATACATTTACAATATAGATATACTTAAAAAATCTTTACGTAATATATATTGGTTAAATAAATAATAAATATAAGTATAAATAAATCAATCCAAATACACAAAAACACAGTCTTTCCTTTCTTTTCCATTTCGAGCCAGCTCTACATCTAAAAAAAAAAACAAAAAAACAAAATGTTTTTGAGTAAGGAAAGATTTTAATGTTTAACAAAATATTAAATTATTAGAAACACTCATTATGTGCAATGGTTACCTTAAAGTTGTTACTCAATATGAGTGATTTAACTGAAGCCAAGCAATAAACAACTCTGGATAAAGTTAAAAACTCTTTTGAGCAATAAATAAATACCTACAAGAAATAAAAACTTAAATTAAAGTATGATACAAATAAAGGTTTTAAAGCGCAATTTAACCAATCTCTGTTTGCTTGTTTGGTGATAACCGAATTTCCTGTTTATACGATTGTTGGCGTCATATGCCATTACTCCCAAATATAAAATTAGATTTTTTTATAATATTAAATAAATAAAAATCTTTTAAAATCAAATTCAAATAATTAATTACTAAATTTACTCACAAAATAATTCAACAATTTAATAATAAAACTCAAGTTTTCTTTTCTGTTCTATAATAAAAACTTAATTTATCAAATTATTGTTTTTATTTAATATAAAAACCATTTCAAAAATCAAATTTAAAATTTATTAATAAAGATACATACTTAGATCAAACCTTTAGCAAAGTAAAAAAAATATAAAACATATCTATAATATAACAGAAAATTATTAATTTATAAATGAAATGATTTTTACCTATCTGGACCATTACCATCTGGTCATCACTAAAAAAATATATATTAAACCAATGAAAAAGTTATTTTTTTTGTTCATGCTTAAATTAAAAATTGTTAAAAACCAAAGTACAATACCAATCTTGAAGCCTTGTTTTTATTTTTATTATTATTTTTTTTTTTGCAGAATATCTACTTCGATAGACTATAATCTATTTAATAATCTATTTAATAATACTGAACTTAATAGTAGTAGTGCGCTTTCGAGCCTGTTTGACACGTACCCTTGCCAGCCATTGCAAGCAAGGTAGTGGGGAGAAAGAGTTGTAGCAGCTTTGTTTTATAAGAAAACGTGAACGAACGTGTATCCAAATATCTTACGTACGTAAACGTTAAATTAAGTAGTGTTAAAACATATGTTAAAACATACTAAAAAATTTATCAAGTTTTACAGTTTGATTTTCACTTAAAAATTGCATTGCGTCAAGCTCTTCTTAATTTTAATCTATAACCTTATTTTACCTTAAAAAAATCATTATATTGTTTTAAAAATATTTGCTTGAGAATGTGCCAGTGTGGCCGAGTGGATAAGGCGCCTAACTTCTGAACAAGTAAGCCGAGACTCGATTCCTACCACTAGCGACTTTTTTTTTTTAAATTTTTTTCGATTTTTTTAAAATACAAAATACTTTTGAAGTTTAATAGAGATTATATACAAACATATGTAACGATATTATACACTTATACCAAATAAAAGAGTTTAAGAAAGCTAAAATTTCATAAAACAGTAATGTCGCGAATAAAATCCTTTATACTTATTGTTATATTGGTACAATCGTGCGAGGTTCTTAATCAAGACAAAATGAGACATTCTAGACCGATTACAATGAGTAAGTCAATTAGAATGTCTTTAAGCTTGCTAATGGAGATCGGATATAGCATATTCAACAATTCAAAACCCTTGATTGAGAGTGTTGGACTTTTATTTATTTTATTTATTTAAAACTTTATTTTCAGTTGATTGTTTACAAAAGTTTTATAATCGACAAAAACTAATTAAAATCAACACACTAAACTGTATAAGACAATACAAACAAACATACATATTGTGAATAAAAAATAAATAAAATAAAAATAGCTTACATAGTAAATAATATAAATGTCAATAAATACAACAAGTTGGTTATTTTCGACGTAAAAAATAAAAAATTAAAAAAGTTATTTTTGACAGATTTCACAAAAACAAGAATTTCTGCCACGTTTTAAAATACTTTTTTTGAACATCTTTAGATAATTTATTGACATAGTTTCATTGTCTAGGGAGTTCCATAGCGAGGTTGCTCTATATAAGTTACTTTTTATGAACTAATGTTTAGAGACTATGGGTGGGAGTATTAATTTTTTACTTCATCAAAGACTTAACGGCAGGGATTTTTTGATAAAAAGATCTAACATAAAATCTGGATTTAAACCATTTATAGATTTAAAAACTTCACTTAATAAAAACCTTAAAATTCTAAGGTGAATACTTGGGAAACTTTCTATTTTTTGAATTTCTTCTAATGGGAGAGCAAACCTTTTATAGACAATGCGAAGTCCTTTTTGATGAACTTTATTAATTAGGTTATTATTTCACTTCGAACAAAACATCCAAATAAAAGGACAATAGGAAAAATTTGACAGTATAAAAGCATTGAATAAAACAGTAGCTTGTTTTACTTATAAGAAGCTCCTTATTTGTGCAAGAGCGAAGCATTTACCATTCGCTTTTCCACACAAATTTTTAATGGGATCATCAAATTTCAAATCCTTATCATTTGTAACCCCGAGAAGTTTAACCTTAGAGGAAACCATAGTTTTTACATTTCAAACCATTAAAAATTGATCTTTACAATTTTTGAAGCCAACTAAAAAAAATTGAAATTTGTCCGGATTTGCAACCATTTTATTCAAAGTAAACCATGAAATCGCGTTTGATGTTTCTATTTGCATTAACACTCTCTAGGTTTTTGTCACAAACAGAAAGAGTGTTGTCATAAGCATAGTTGCAGATTTCGGAGTCTTTTATGAAAAAATCGTTGATAAAAATATTAAAGAAAATTGGTACCAAAATTGAACCTTGAGGTATACCAGATTTCATATCTGAATATTCAGAAAATGACAATCCTAGTCATACCCTCTGTTTGTGAGCAGAAAGATATAAAGAGATTGAGACTATCATAAGAAGACCCATAACCTTCCAACTTAGCTATAATCAAATCATGTGGAATTAAACCGTATGCCTTTGATAAATTCATAGCGCCAACTATACCTCCTTTATCCAAGCATTCTTGTCACTTAATAACTAAATTAAAAAATGCGTACTGCGCACTATACCCTCTCCGAAATCCAAACAGCTATTTGTTAAAGCTTGGCTCTATAAAAACCTGTATTTGCCTGCTCTATAAAAACCTGTAATCCTAAATAACGATTTCAAACATTTTTGAGAGAACTGGAAGAATACTTATTGGGCGAAAGTTACACTTATCAGCAGAGTCATTTTTTTTTAAAACATGGTATAATATTGGCCATTTTGAAGAAAGACGGGAAATCGCCTTGTGATATGCAATTATTTATACAAGAAGTGAGGCTTTCTCTCAAATCCGTGACATATGTTTTTAACATAAACGTTGGAATATCTTCACTAGTCTTCTTTTTACTATTTAAAGAACAAATAATTTTTGTTATATCATCAGGAGAAATTTGATGAAATTTAAAATTTTGAGGATATAACTTAGATATGTTTTTAATGTTTATAGTACTGGGATGGTTTGCATATCTTATAATAGCAAATTCAACAGAAACATGTACATTGCAAGGAGAAGGACGATATTTCATCTCACTTTTTATAGGAGACGTAACGTTAGTGAAATATAAGTTAAAAATGTTTGAAATTTAAAAGTTATCCGAAATAGTTTCCTCATGTTCAATTAACGTTATGCGATCGCTCGAATTACCAGATTTATTAGAACGAAAAGGCTTGCATATCTTCCATAGAGATATAGTAGATGATTTGAATAAATTTATCTCATTAAAATATATTTTCTTTGCTTTTTTATTCAAGTTCACTACGTAGTTTCTTTGTTTCCTATAAAGAGACAAAAAAATGTCTGATTTTTCAATCTGGAATTTTTTTTTATTTTGAGCGAAGCATAATTGCTTTTCTAAAATTCTTAGTCATAAACGGCTTATCGTTACCACTTAAGATTTTAGTTTTCAATGGTGAGTTTTCAAATTGTTGTTATATATAGCGTTAAACTCATTAATGTCATTACAAAATCTTATCTTATTTTTTATTTTTTCAGAAAATATAACACTTGGAAAGTTTTTAAAAGACCTGTAAATTAATTTTTTCGGAGGTAAATTGCAGAAGGTAGCCCTGAGCATTGTAAAAATAAGATCGTGGTGGTCACTAACAACCGTACAGATAGTCTTAGAGTGTTACCCAGCGGGCACAGACGTCAATCAAACGTCTTACGGACGTCTTAACTAGGTCGCGACGTCTCAGACCAAATTAGGACGTCCTAAAGACGTCTGGTAAAGACGTCTTTGTTAGGACGTCCTTGTGACGTTAATATAAAGACGATATTAGGACTTCCATATTAAGACGTCCTATTGACGTCGCTAAGACCTACATTAGACGTCCTAATTACCTTAAAAATAAGTAGCAAAATTAATATTATCAACTTGGCGCATACAATATTATGCGCTAACTCGGTTAATTAAATATGTCTACTTGTTTTGGTTGATTATTTTGAGATTATTAATTTTGTTTAGTTATTTATCGTTTAAAGATACTTTTTAATTTTCTATATTCTATACTATATGATCTATAAACTATAATCGATACAATATTTAAATAAAAGAAAATTGAGTTTAGTTATTAAGTTACAAGTATGAGGAAATTTTAACAAAAGTATTATAACAAGTATGAGGAAATTTTAACAAAAATTTTAATGAGGAAATTTTAACAAAAGACATCAAAATTGCACCAAGACTTTTCACTTTGTGTTTTATAGAATAGTAATAATATTTTGTGTGTCTGTGTTATATATATATATATATATATATATATATATATATATATATATATATATATATATATATATATATATATATATATATATATATATATCCTTATAGTGTAGTCAAAAGAGTCTTTTAATGTAAAAAAAGTCTCTTTCGATTACATTTTTAATTACCTCGTCTCTTAAGCTGTATTTGATTGTCGTCGAAATGCCAAAGCAATTAAATTAATGCGGAAGTAAATAAAATTTTATTGTTTTTTAAAAAATTTTTAAAAAATCGCAATAATAACGACTAGAAAGTGTTTTTTAATTAGTGGTGTTTTTATTTTTGTTTTATTAAAAAACATTTTTAAAACATGGGTAAATTTTGCTACATCCACTATCTTATAACCTGCTGCTACAAGGGAGTGTTTCTACATTGACTATCTTACAGCCTGACTCGCAACGGAGTGCTGCTACATCGACTGACAAATAGCCTGACTCGCAACGGAGTGCTGCTACATCGACTGACAAATAGCCTGACTCGCAATGGAGTGCTGCTACATCGACTGAGGGTTTGGTTTGGGTAGGCAGTCTATCATTTAAAAAAAAAAAAATTGAGTTTTTAAATTTTTTCTGGTCTAATTTATTAACGCGCTCTTTAAAACTACAGTTTATGGGAAACTCTTTTTCACTACCATGCAAAAGTATATATATATATATATATATATATATATATATATATATATATATATATATATATATATATATATATATATATATATACTCTATATAAATGATCTTCCAGAATCTCTGAAAAATATTACAAAATTTCGATAGTCGATGTAGCAACACTTACGCATGTTTTAAAAACGTTTTTTAATAAAACAAAAACACCACTAATTAAAAAAAACTTTCTAGTCATTATTATTGCGGTTTTTTTAAAAAACAATAAAATTTAATGTACTTCCGCATTAATTTAATTGCTTTGACATTTCGACGATAATATAATGCAGCTTAAGAGGCAAGGTAAAAAAATTCTAGTCGAAAGAGGCTTTTTTTTTACTATAAGTCTCTTTCGACTACACTATAAGGATATATATATATATATACACACACACACACACACACACACACACACACACACACACACACACACACACACACACACACACACATATATATATATGTGTATATATATATATATATATACACATATATATATATATATATATATATATATATATATATATATATATATATATATATATATATATATATATATATATATACATATATATATATATATATATATATATATACATATATATATATATATACATATATATATATATATACATATATATATATATATATATATATATATATATATATATATATATATATATATATATATATATATATATATATATATATATATATATATGTATATACATACATATATATATATATGTATATATATATATATATATATATATATATGTATATATATATATATATATACATATATACTTTTGTATACATGAGTTTTATCTTTATAGTTTATATGTTATATATTATTACAATATTTATTTTAAATTGTCATTAACATTTTCAATGTTTCTTATACATTGTTTTTTTTTAGGTGAAACAGTTATCATTAATTGGCGGTAAAAATCTAGCTGATACAATTAAAAATATTTTGCTCTTGAAAGTAATTAGCAAAAGTATGAATTTTAACATTAATGATTGACAGTACAGCATTTATCTTCTTTTTTATATATGTAGACTGCCAACAGACACTATTTTGTCAGAATACAGCATGAATTGTCTAAAGAAGAAAAAAAATTTTAAAGAGTTGACACTTCTATGTAACCCTGTCACTGGTATTCTTATTAGCTTATTAATGTGTTTTATTAATTAAAAACTAAAAATGATGTTTTAATAAAAAAATAAAAAAAATTTTAATTTCTTTGGCTATGGAACATGACATGTATTCAAGTGTATGAATACATGACATGTATATTTTATTTTATGATCTTATTGAAACATGTTTTGTTGTTTTTTTTAGAAGCTGCTTTTAAGTCAAATAAAAACTTAACCAAAATGAATGCCATCCAACTTATTGGAGAGTAAGTAGGCATTCTTCTGACCGAATAAAGAGAACATCCACTAATATGGATTTCGATCAATGATGGCTTAATTAACTGTTGTATTTATTTATTTATTTTCCATTTTTATAAGCAATTTTCTTCTATTTATAATGCACTATCGATTATATTCTACAGTACCTATTAGTTTTTTTAATTTGGAAAATGTAACTTTGTTTGAAAAATTATTCTTATTTTTTGTAAAGTTATTAATTTATTTTAAATATATCAAATTACACTTTATTTACATTGATTTCTTTTTATAACTTCTCTTGCCTAGATTAAGGCAAATCTAAGGTGTGTGTTGTAAATCATTGCATTTTTATATAACTTTTAAAAGAATGTCTTGGTAAAATTCAAACGTCTCTAGGACGTCTAAAAAAGACGTCCTTAAGTCTTTCATAGTAGACCAGCCAGAGATATCTCTAAAACGTCTGCAAAAACGTCTCTAGGACGTCTTAAAAAGACGTTTTGAGGACGTCTGGAATAGACGTCCTCAAGCCTTTCATTTGAGACTAACTAAGGATGTCTTACGGACGAGACTTAAGACGACTTACGGACGTCCTTAGGACGTCAAAATGCCCGCTGGGTAGAAACACGTTTTTCTATTTGTTAGGATGAGATCTATACACGTGGGTTTTACAAGTTAAAACAAGTTTTTTTAAAACAAGTTGGTGCTTTAATTAAATTACTACATTGATAAAGGCAGAGAAACTCGTTCATTATTTTATCATGAGGTTGTAAATTAAAATCTCCAATAATTATATAATCATTATATGATTGTAAGTAAAAATCAAGAATCCCTCTAAAGTTGACGAAGAAATAGTCATTTTTCTGATTAAGAGGCTTATAAATAGCTATAATTAGCTATTTGCGCATTCTTAGTTTATTTTCAAAAAGTAAAATTTGAACGTCAGTAGGTATGACTACGCAATTTAATCTTTTTGAGGAAGTGTTATCTTGGGCGCTCAAATCTTGAAGCATTACTTACTTTCACAATAAAACTGATACCATCACAGCACACCCCTCAGAGATGATTACTGTACTTAGCTGTACGGTCAACATGACCACTTGATAGGTGTTTGGAAGATAAAATGGTCTATTTGAAACATCTGTTACCTGTATTATTCACATTATTTACATATCGCTTAGATATGCAAACAGGCTTTTTAATGCAGCTCTTTTCTACGGAACGTATAGTATTAAGTGAATTTAATCAACAGTGATTCACAGTGACTGAGGAACAGCCAGAGCCCTTGTTGAATATTTTTTCCTCAACTCAATAATTTTAACTGGAACTCTGTTAAGCATCTCTTTGATTTCATTTTTATTAATGATTGGCATGACATCCGACCAAAGGTATACTGTCTGCTTCGCAATGTTTTCTCCTCAAACATCACCATAAACGTTGGCACTTTTTAAAGTATTCTATTTTAACTACAAGAATAAGAGAGACTTTGTATTCTGAATCTTGTTTTTTACTTTATTGATACTGTATAATACTTGGAAACATTTTGTCAGTGCATCAGATTCTAATTTATAGCTTATCGGGATTGTAGCTTCGTAAGTTTTGAGCTGATTATTCAAAACCGTGTACGTTAAGCAACTCAAAAAAAAAAGAAAAGAAAATCTAAGATAAATTTATGAAAAGCAAATATCTCAGTTAATTATTCCAACTGGGTCCTAGGCAGGATTGACTGATATTGAGCTGGAATCACTAGGATAAGGTTCTAGATGGGTCCCATATGGTGTAAAGAGTTTTAAACAAACCAAATCTGAATTTCTACTGGGATTAGAATGGGATTTTCTAATCAAGCTGATCAGAAATTACAATTCTATTTTAAAAGAATTATTAAGTTATCTAGCTTCTTTTTTTGTTTTTTGTCAAGTTGCTATGAAAGCATCATGCTTAGCGTATGTTATTTATGCAATAGAGTAGTATTTTATTTATACAATAGCAGATCAGTGGTAAATTATAAGATGCATAATAGTAGAGAGCATTTTTTTTTTGTTTAAAATATTTTAAGATGTTCTAATTTGTAGCCACAATAAATTTATTTGTGTATAGTTAAGATTTAAATGAATTATTGAAGGTTGATATTTTCTTAGTATATATTCCGAAATAAATTAAATATACAGTCATAAGATGCTTTTCAAGAGCATATATAAAATTAAAAATGTAATTTTGGTCTTAAGTATTGGAAAAAACTTATGTTTGAATAAGTGTTTATAATAAATTGACATGAAAAAGTAGTTTTAACATGTAACTGTCACAAAATGCAAATTAACTTAAACTTTCCGTCCCGAGAGAAACCTTTTGTATTGTTGTATTGCACGAATAGACGGTCACATTGGCATAGATTTTAAAATCAAACTATTTCGTCCGTGGGAGAAACTTTTTAATGTAAATCAATATTTTTAAATTAAATTTATTTTGATTTGGAGTTTAAAACTTGTTTTAAAAACTGCAATTTAATTTTATTGAAATATAAAGTGTTGTTTTGTTTTGAATTTTGGTTTCAGTCAAAATTAAACAAACAATGTTTGCTGGGAAATAGTAACAGCATAGTTTTAATCTTTAAGTGTGCTGACTTTACTTTTACAAAATGCCAAAGAAACAGTAACAGCATAGTTTTAATCCTTGAGTTGTTGAATTGGAAAAACAAAACTTAATGACCCTTTGCAAATTAGCACTATCCAAATGGTTCATCTTAAAAAACAAACAGCCATTAAAAAATAAAAAAAAATAAAAACCAGCCATTAAGAAAGGATGTTCAACATTATTGGTAGAGATCTTCCTTATAGTTGAACTAAACTCTTAGATTAAATTTGTTGAATGCCACAAAAGATGGTAGTTCATCTGAAAAAGTAGTTTTTTTTGTATTTCTAAACAAGTCTTTATCACCTCATGGAACTGTAAGAAAGAATCAAGAAGAAGAAAAACCGCTTCCTGTGGTTCCAGGTAATGTATTTTTGGGGTTCATTATAATTATTATTTTGAAAGACTTTTTAAACGTAGATAATTTTCAGCTGCAGATGCATTAGCTGCTCAAAATCTCTTTGTTGTCAAACTGGATTGTCAAAACGTGATGTAAACAAGTTTGCATCAACCCTAAATCAGGTAATGCTAAAGAGAATCGTGGGAAAAAACTTCCAGGCCTAGTTCGAATCACTATGAAGTTCAAATCGTGTTTAAAAACATAAAGTGTTAATAACTTCATTCATATATACATTGAGGTAAAAAAAAATTCCTATTTTTCTATTTTTTTAAAACATAACTTTATGGTCTTTATAATACAATAAAATAAATAAAATACTAAAATATTGAACGGACTAAAAATTATTATTTAAAAAAGAAAAATTGAACGGACCAGCTTGAATGCTACTGACGTAGAATTAATGAAGGTATCTCTTGCGGGTTTGATTGTTGTTGACGCAGCATTAATGAGGGTATCTCTTGCGGGCTTGATTGTCGTTGACGCAGCATTAATGAAGTTATCTCTTGCGGATTTGAAGAAGATTTTTCAACAAATGCTGCCTCTGTTTTTTGAAAACATTTTTCTATATTAGCTGTATAAGGATGATTCTCAAAAACTTGTATAACTTGCAAAGCTTGCTGATGGTATTTAATTGCTTGGTCATATTGCTCTATGTCAGCATAAACCATTCCAAGATTGTTTAACAAAATAGCAATACTAGGATGAGGTTGGTGCTGGAGGATAAGTTTTTTTACGTCTAGGCTTTGCTCATAGAAATTAATGGCATCTTTATATTGCTTTTTATTAACATAAATTAACCCAAGGTTATGTAAAATTTCAGCAGTTCTAGGATTAGGTTGATTTTTATATATAAGCTTTTCCATTTGTAGGCTCTGCTCAAAGTAGTGAATTGCCTGATCATAGTTTTCTTTAGAGAAATAAGCTATACCTAAATTGTATAAAGAATGAGCAACATCTGGATGTTCATTTTGGTAGACTAGTTTATAATTTTTAAGGCTTTCCTCACAGTAATTAACTGCCTGATCATACTTTCCAATACTAATATAAAGTAACCCAAGACTATTGAAAGAATAAGCAACACTAGGGTGAGGTTTATCTTGGTAGATAAGTTTATTCATTGCTAGACTCTGCTCATAGCAGTTAATTGCTTGATCATATTGCCCTTTATCGTAGTAAATTAAACCAAGATTATTTAAACTATCAGCAACATCAGGATGAGGTTGATTTTGATGAATTAGTTTGTTTAAATTCAGGTTTTGCGTAGTGTAGTTGATCGCTTGATCATAATCACCTGTATCAGCATAGACTAATCCAAGAAAAATTAAAGAACCAGAGTAACTTGGATGATGTTCATCTTTATAAATAAACTTTTTCACTTTAAGGCCTTCCTCGCAATATTTAATTGCCAAATCATATTTTCTTACAAGTTTATACAACATTCCAAGATTTTGTAAAGTATCAGCAACACTAAGGTAAGGTTTACCTTGATGAATAAATTTTTCCATCGCTAGGCTTTCCTCATAATACTTAATTGCCTGATGATATTTGGTTTTATTTTTATACATATATCCTAGAGAATTTAAAATAGTAACAACACTAGGGTGAGGTTTATCATGGTATATAAGTTTATTCATTGCCAGACTCTGCTCAAAGCAGTTAATTGCTTGATCATAATGTTGTTTATCACTGTAAATTAATCCAAGATTATTTAAACAATCAACAACATCAGGATAAGGTTGGTTTTTATAAACTAATTTGTTTAAGTTTAAGTTTTGCATAGCGTAGTTTATTGCTTGATCATAGTCACCTGTATCAGCATAAACAAATCCAAGCAAATTTAAAGTAATAGAATAACTAGAATGATGTTCATCTTTATAGAATAATTTTTTCATTTTTAAACTCTCCTCGAAATACTTAATTGCTAAATCATGTTTTCCAACAAGTTTAAACAACATTCCGAGATTTTGTAAACTATCGGCAACACTAGTATCAGGTTTATCTTGATGAATCAGTTTTTCCATCAATAGGCTTTCCTCATAGTATTTTATTGCCTGGTCATATTTATTTTGATTTTTATACACTTTTCCTAGAGAACTTAAAACAATAACCACACCAGGGTGAGGTTTATCTTGATAAATTAGTTTGTAAACTTTAAGACTCTCCTCATAACACTCAATCGCCTTGTCATATTGCCCTTTTGCATTATAAACAGCTGCAATATTTTTGAAAGATAAAGCAATGTTTTGGTGAGGTTCATCATTGTAAATGTGTTTGTAAATTTGTATACACTCATCATAATACTTAACAGCTTCATCATGCTGCAACTTTGCCGCAGAGGCTATCCCTAAATTATAAAGAGTATCAGCAACAACGGGGTGAAATTCATCTTGGTAAACAAATTTATAAATCTTAAGACTTTTTTTGTAATACTTGATGGTCTGATCATATTGTCCATTGGCTCGATAAGTTATTGCAATATTGTTTAAACAATCTGCAACTCGAGGATGCGGTTCATCTTTGTAAATAAGCCTGTGAATCTTTAAACTTTTCTCATAATATTTAATTGCTTTATTATAATTTTTTTTCCGGTTATATACTAATCCTAGATTATTTAAAGAAGCAGCAAAACTTGGATGAGATTTACTTTGGCATATTAATTTTATAACCTTTAAACTTTCTTTAAATTTTTCTATTGCCTGATCGTATTGACCTATATTTCTATAGGCTTCTCCTAAGTTATTTAAACAGGAGGCAACGTTTGGGTTAGGCTCATCTTTGTATATAGATTTGTATATCTTTAGACTATTGTTGTAACATTCAACTGCCTCATCATAACGGTTTTTAGAACTATAAGCGACCCCTAAGTTATTTAAAGACTCTCCGCTAAAGATACTAATATGAGGGTCCTCACAAGAAATCAGTTTTATCGTTTTAGAACAATACTCAAACTGCTTAATAGCCTGATCGTAATTACCAGTACTAAGATATAAACGTCCTAATGTTTCCCCTATTTGCCATATATTGTTATTATTTGGATCATCTAACGCTTTCTTGAAATTGTGCTCGGCATTTTTATATTGCGCTAATCTAAAATAAATAAAACCTTTTGTAGCACAATCATCTTTGTAAAAATTGTTGTTTTTAAAAAAAGATAGCCTGCATGCTTCGTCTAATGTCTGATATTGATTGCAAAAATCTTTTATCATTTCATGAAAAGGTAACGCTGTATAAAAATATTGAAACAACTCGCCGTGTTCTTCTAAATCTGCTTTAGCTAAATAAAATATCTGTTTAGATCTCTCTTTAAGTTCAGATTCAGTTTTAGCTGGTCTGACAAATACTGACATATCGTCTCTCTGTGCTTTGTGATGAGAATAAGTTTTTAATCTGATGGAAGTAGCAAAAGATATAGTATATTTTAAATTAAGTGCTGCCTGTGAATTAATAATTCCTTTAGCCTCTAATTTATCTAATATATCCCAAGCACAATTTTCTTCAATACCATAATACAAACCAAGATTATGTATCATGCGATCAGGTAACCGATAGATTTCTTGCTTTACGTCAAATAATTGACCTTCTGTATCAAAGAAGTCAGGTTGAAATTTATGTATATCACCTTTAAAATAGGTTTCTTTTGGTTTAAGATGTGGTGTTGTATGAAGGTAGTTAAGCTCTAATATACCTTCATTGAGTATTTTAATGGCTCTTAACTCACAGTTAAATCTGGTTTGTTCGTTTTCATGACTACGCAAAAACTCTGTAACTTTTTTTTTATAATTTTCCACAAGTTTATTATCGCCATAAACGTAACAAACGTTTTGCAATATATATGGCAGGTTTTTATCAATATGACTTGCCCAATTTTCTTTATTATATACATAACTAAGCATCATATCAATTGGTTGTATTAAATCATATACTTTATCGCCCTCTATTCTTCCGAGTGGTGTTTTCCCTCCTAAATCTAAATTAACCGCTACATTTACTATATGACTCAGATCCAAACCATATTTACTTGTAGGGATAATGCTTTCTCCTAAATTGATGATCTTGAAGTTTACTAAGTGGCTTAGATTTTTAAAATACTTTTTTATTTTAGGGTCATCACTTTGCTTATAGTCATCATTCTCTGCCAAAATAGCAAATTCAAAATCTGAATATGGTGTCATTTGCTTAAGTGCCATTGAACCTAGTCCTATAACTGCATATTTACAGGGCCTTGTTATTACCATTTGTTGTTCACTATCATAATATAATTTTTTTAAAAACTTTTTCATTGCATCAGCTATGTTTTCAAAGCATGCTCTAACATCATCTACATAATACTTTTGATATTTTAGTTTTTCTTTTTGATTATCCATTTTAACCTGTTCACGTTTAGATTCTAACTCTTTTATTACTTGAGAAGTTTCGTCTCGCAATGTTGATAATAGATTTTTATAATTTTCCGTTTCCTCTTGTATATTCAGCGCTTTTTGTTGGTCGCCACCAGTTGCTAAAAGTAATAGCTTTTGTATATGGGCCAACTGATGATACGGATTTATATGGTGTTCTTTTATAAATTTATTTTTATCTTCAATTCTTATTAACTTTTCATTTAGCTTCTGGTCTAGTATCGCAATGACATACTGATAAAATACTGCAGCCTCGGTATAATATTTTAGATCGCCGCTAAATTCTCCTAAAAAAGAAGTTAAACGCCCCAAATCATTCATGATTATTGCCAAGTCCTTTAGCTCTTCTACAGACTTCTTATAAGCAAGTTCATGGATCAAACTTTTATATTGTTCTTTTTCTATTTGTTTTAAACAATCGATTTTAAATAAGTTGTTTTCATTTGAATTTACAACTTGATCTACTTTTTCTTTGATTTTTGCTGCTGCAACTTTTGAAACATATGTTTTTTTGTAGATCGATTTTGCTATTAAAACATTTGCCATTTTCAAAAACGGTAAATTGAAAAATGTTATCAATGCTCTAAAAATAAGCTATGTAATCTAAAAATATAAATAGAAGTAGAATGTTTTCTGTAAGAAAAATTGAAGTGCATTTTGATTTTCATAATTTCCTTAAAAATAAACGAAAAAGCGTTTTTATTTTCCTATCGATGAAGTGAAACTATTTAATTTCAAAAAAATTTTAAAAACAAATTCAAGCGATAAAAAAACTTGTGATTAATTAACTACTCATTTTACTCAAGAAGAATATGTTCAACAATAACACTGCTGAGTCAATAATAACAAAAAAAATATTGCTTTGGCATAACTTTGATACATTATGCCATATCAATTTACTCAAAAACAATCCTCTTTTATCTTTTAACAATACAATACCCTTCACAGCTTTTTTTAAGCTTCTTAAACAAACTCATGAC